AGCAGAACAGGGAGATTTACTGAAATATACTGCTGAGGGGGGTAATGGGTGAGACAGGAGAGGTCTGCTGCACCATGTGGGTCACCTCCCTGGCCAGGGATTGAACCCATGCTGCAGTGGCTGCTAATAGATTCATATTGCTGCACTTTTGGGAGCACCCAAAAGTTACTACTTTTCAAACTTAGATGAGTGATTTAGCTGGTTGGTTTGGAGAAAACGTAAATACTGGTCTCCAGTATGCTATACTCTACCAAAAAAAAAGTGAAAATAACTCTTTGAAAAGCAGGTGATGAGACAGTTGTATTTAAACCCTCCCATCTCCATAAAAATAATGTTGAAGTGACTGTTGGAATTTGCTCCATCTGGTGGTACTTTAAAAGGAAGAACTGAGTAATTGGATGATGACTGTAAGAATGCCCCCACGATCATGATGTTTCTCTTACCTCCCCTAATGTTTTTGTTTGGATTTGTTTTATTTGGTCTTGTTTTTAAGAAATACCATCTGCTTGACTAAGAATACACTTAACACATAGTCATTGGGGTGCTGGCATCTGAGGAGAAGCATCACAGATGCAAAGATGCTGGAGGTGATAATTATGGTGACCTATGCTCTTCTGTAGAAATAATACAAATACACTGCCTGTTCTAGTAGTCCTGAGATCCCTAATAACTTGTTCCCTCTGCTCTTGGATTCCTGTCTCAGGAAAGGATTCTTGACATCTGCTTGGTATTAAAAATGGAGTGGATTTTTCCATGTAAAGATGAGTCACCTTAATAAAATGAAAAGATTGTCACAGAAACCTTGCTATCAAAGAATGAAGGTTGCCCTTCATATTCCAGAAAGGCCAGTCATTGGCATATTCTAGAAACAGACCAATAGATGTTGGAAGCAAGATCACAAAAATGGCTGCTTGTTCCAGTTATTGCCACTGAATTGCTTTTCTTCCTTGTAAAAGAAAAATGGTCATCCTGGCTTTGAAGTTGTTTTTCTCAATGCCTTTATCCTTTACTGTTAAGAAGTTATGAATCAGTAAACATGATTTTGGAGAGTTTTCTAGTTGAGGTTGTCATGATCTAAGTGTTCTTTAAAAAATCAGACTTCTTTCTTTAACTACTTCCTTAGGAGAATCATTGAATATTTCTGTTATTTTTACTTCTCAGTCATAAACAGCAGGATTCTGAGTTTTTATAAGTTTCTCAATCTCCATGTCTTCATCCTTCATGTTAATGTAGGCACCCCATTGCTTTAGACTGGAATTAAATTGGTGTACAACTGGTTCTGACATAAGACAGCTGAGTTACACAGTTTCACCTAAGTCATTTTGCAAGATGGATATAAAACAGCTTGGGCATATGTGCATTTTTTTAGCTGTATTTCCTGAGACGTTTTATAATTTCTCATATTTAAATTTTCAGCTGTTTTTCTCTTGTATTTTGAGAACTTGGAGCTGGTGGCCTCTAGATAAAAGAAAAAATATTTTTTTTTCCCCCTGGTAGAAGCTAAGAAGGGTTGTTCTTATCCCAATTTCCCATCCCAGTTGTTTGTGGAATTTGAGGATGCTGCGGTGAATGAACCCTCTATGTGGTGTGATGATGAGAAGGGGAAGTGCAGGGCTGCCTTGAGGAAAGGCTGTTCCTGCCCTCCAGCACCCAGCCTGGCCAACAAGGAAGCATGAGTGCGAAGAGAAGCCAGCCCCGGAGGGCTCCTTCCTGCGGAGCAATCCTGAGTGACACGAGGTAAAATCAGACTCACACAGTACTTGTCTTGTCTCTTTCCAGGAGCTGCCTATTGCCAGTTCATGGACATGCTTTTTCCAGGCTGCATTAGTTTGAAGAAAGTAAAATTTCAAGCAAAGCTGGAGCATGAGTATATTCACAATTTTAAACTTCTCCAGGCATCGTTTAAGCGAATGAATGTTGATAAGGTAGGAGACTAATTTGTACCTCCATAAGACGCATTGTCTTCCCTTAAATTTTTTGTTTGTTTTTTTTTGTTTTTTGCACAGAAATGCAAAAATCCAAAAGTGTATCTGTCCATGGGACATACCCCATGTAGATTGGGTCTGTGTGTAACATAAAGCACCGACTCTCACTTCCTGTAGTTGTCTGAGGTTTTTATTTAAGGAGATTTCTAAATTTGTTCCTATTAGACTAAACACCCTAACAGAAATTACAAATGCTTAAATGTGGTTATTCTGTTTAGCATTGCAGATGAGAAGTTTTTATGTTTGCCAGATGCCTCTGTGGGTCTTTGTGTTTTTTTGTTTGTTTGATTATTTTGTTGTTGTTGTTCTTTGGAGAAACAGCTTGTTACAGTGAAAATGGTTAAGACCCCAATTCCATGACATGAACAAATAATTTAAATTATTTGAGCCTGAGTTCCATCTATAAAATGGAACTGAAACCCCTTTCCCATGATTATGAAGTTTAAATGCATGTGAGGATGACTATCATACTGTAGCTCCTCAGTCAATCTTCATAAATTGCCTTTTCCCTTTTGAAATATTATAATTTAGTCCTCAGATGAGATAAATGGAGTAAAACTGGAGTCCTATTCCTCCTAATAAAGAAATATTGCTAACATCCACTCAATTTCTGTATGTTTACTGCTATTTAAGTGCATGTTCCTTATTTAAGATCTGTCTCTTAGAGGGAATAGACTTGAAAAGAAAGGAATTTAGAATAAGGAAAACTTGCAAGGGGGAAAGGAAAACTTGTCTTTGCATAAGTAGAGGATTAAGTGGGCTATGGAAATAAAAAATAAATTACTAGGTCATAAAAGATGGAAGCTAAGGGAAAAGAACAAAGTTTGAGAAGCCATATATTTTTAAAATTTAATGCAGTTAATATCTACTTAAGTCAAAACATTCCTTTGAAAATATTTTAAAATATCGACTTCTCACTTTCTCAGAAGTTTATTTCAGAACATGTTCTCTTTAACATCTTAAGAATTTGGATTCTTTTCAACTTTCTTTGCTGTGGTAATTTCCAATTAGTTCCTTCCATATATATTCAAATCCAGAGCTGTATTGGTTCTCCTTACTAGCAGTATTACTTGCATCTTATTGCATCTTATTCATTTTTCTATACATGTTTGTAGATCAAAAAGAAGACAGTTTATAGGTTTATTGATGGAACTAGCTATGTAATACAAAAATAGCCTCCATATCTTACTAGAAGTATACATACACACAATGGGTGATGTGTTAAGAATATTGACAATAACATTGTTATAGAGGAGGATGATTGGTCTTGATGACCTGTGTTGGATTCTCTAGCTGTGATTTCTACCCAAAGGTCCTTGGATAGAGACAGTTGTCCTTATTCATGTTTGTCATAGCCTAACAGTAAATGGAAAACTTCTGTGCAAAGATTGGCTTGCCACCTTTAATTTTTAACTTCTGCTGCTGGAATTTTCATTTTGGTAGGGACTGTAAAATTAAGTCAACAGAATTAAATGCCTTTGAACAGCTAATGTATTATCATTATCTAAAGCTGTTTTTAAATTTCCACTTATTTGGCAGAAAATAAAGTATAGGAGCATGTTAAACAGCCACATAGACTAAGAAAGCACTTTGTAAAACAACCAGTATAAGCATAAGCAAAACATAAATCAAAGATGTGAAAATATATTGACTAGTCAATTAAGTGAATGTGTAGAAGGAATTCTATGTAATAATCTTCTGTTGCTGTAAGACTCAATGAAAAGTATGATCTCCTCCAAAAGTGCTTCTCTTGATTTCATTCTGTACTTGATTTTATTTTAGCTTCATAAAAACATTTTTTTAATGTACTACTAATGATTTAGTGTAATGGGTGACATAAAATGTTTTAGTTGCTTTTTTTCTTTCAAGTTGTCATAATATTTAAGGCCTTTATACACTTTAAAGGTTTTCCTTTGTGTTTGATATCAGAGTATACAGTACCTCTGGTAGCAAGGTTTTGCTTAGATTATTTATATATAAATACTATATATTTATATATAAACTCGGTTTACACAGCTTTTGTTCATATCATTACATGAAGAAGCCAGGTGCTTTGAGTACTGTTTCTGTCTGAATCTCACACTCAAACATATTTATATATGAGTTGACTCACTTCCTAGCTTCTTACATGGCTCACATTGAACTAGTGTTCCAACCCAAAGGTGAAGAGGTAAAAATATGGTAATGGTACAGTTTGGATATCAAAGTGCACTCCTATTTTCCTTCAAAAGTAGTAACCCACCTAATTAATGCTTAGTAATCATGTCCATTTTTTTTCTATTATAATTCTGCAGGCTCCATAAGCTCTCTAGAGGGATGACTGGTTGCCTCTTTAGGTTGCCAGTAGGAAAGATTATCACACAAAGCTAAGATCCTGTCTCAGAAGTTGATATGAACATGCTGTAAGCCTCCTCCTGATGCTTTCTCCGATCCCCTCCGCCAGCCTCCCTGTGCTTCCTCCATCTCCCATGGCACGTGGCTGTGCTCCTGTGTAACCTGTCACTTTTGTGCTTCTCTGCATTGTAGATAAGCTCTATGAAAATTCATTTTGTTCCATATGAACCATTAGGTTAGTGGAATATTAGCAATGATTTGAATCTTATTCACTCACATTCTCTGGTAGAATGTTTAGCAGTTTATTCTACCATGGACCAAGTCATAGACCACTAAATCCATCAGTCTTGAAGTAGCACAACATCCCGGCCCATGTTTTGAGATGGGGGGTAATAAACATGCCATAAAGATGAGCAGTCTCTCTTGATGGCTGGGGGAGAGTATTCCTTATTTTATCTGGTTTGCTCACAGGAGAATAACATTCTACTTCACTTTTTTGATTTGATAAAAAACAAAAATCACATAATTCTTGGATACAGCTGGCCCAGATATTGGGAGAAAGAGGAGCAGTTGTGAGTCGAAGACATGTTAGACATAGTTACCTTTTGGTTCACAGAAGTTGATGTCAAGACAAAATCCCTGAAGTTTATGATTTTATGTTGCAGGTAATTCCAGTGGAGAAGCTAGTGAAAGGTCGTTTCCAGGACAACCTGGATTTTATTCAATGGTTTAAGAAATTCTATGATGCTAACTATGATGGGAAGGAATATGACCCTGTGGAAGCACGACAAGGGCAAGATGCAATTCCTCCTCCCGATCCTGGTGAACAGATCTTCAACCTGCCAAAAAAGTCTCACCACGCAAACTCCCCCACAGCAGGTATGGTAACCATGAAATCACTCACTTTCCTTTTGGAAATGGCTCAGGCCTTCCTGATCGCTTGCAACAGCAAGGCATTTTTGTGCTTCTGGATGATTTGTATTGTCTGTTTGACTACATTTATCTTTCTGGGAGACCTAACTATGTACTGACCATGATTTACACAATTCAAAAAGCAGAACTACTTACTATATAAAACTGAATCTGGATGTTAGAATAATATTCCAGGATAAGTTCCATTTTCCTTCTTGTTTTGCTGGGAAATTCCTAGTCTTTTTAGATTTTGACAGAAATATTTTTGCTACCTAATTGCAGTAATGTGAGCTGATTTATACTTTTAAGTATGGGTCTTCATCTGTAATCCTTCAAAGGGAATTCATGAGCTCTGCATCCTGTGTCCTGTAAGGGTAATGCCAGTTTTCATATGTTAATAGTGAGGAAGGCTTCATCCAAAAGTGAAGTCACAGGAGATAAATTCCTAGAATTTTACATTTGAAAAAAACTTTTGTGGATTACAAACCTTTCTAAAATATATTAAAAACATCCCTTCATGAAATACAGACAAATGTATTCTTTACCAAGCAAATGTATCCTTTTAAAACTGGGGTTCTCATTATAAACAGCAGTTGTGCTACTGGGCAGTTAAGCAATGGAATTCTCAGAAACCATTTGTCTCCCTCCAAATGTAAAAACAAGTGTTCACACTTGTTAAATTAGTAAATAATACTAATGTCCAGTCAGAATGGGTTAGAAATTGCTACAATAATAAATGGATAGAAATAGCTTTGTGACAGAATTTTCCTCACTATTTCAGATGCCTTTCTCTTACTTATGGTTTCATGGTTATGTTATAGGTAGGCTGAGATCATTGGAAATGTGGCATGATTTTTGAAAATATACTAAGGATATTAAAATTAAAATATCATGTCTGCAACTAATTTTCATATGATTCCAGGGAAAGTGTGTGTGTGTGTGTGTGTGTGTGTGTGTGTGTGTGTGTGTGTGTCAGAATGGGGGAATGAGAAGGAGATAAAGCAGAATAGGCTAAATATTAACAATGGGTAAATCTAAGTATCATGAATGTTCATTTTATTATTCTTGCAAATTTTCCATGGCTTTGAAAGTTTTCAAAATAAAGTTGGGAGCAAGTGGGTCACATCGGACTATCTTTGAATTATCATGCCCTGCCCATACAGTATGAATGATATGATTGTGTAACAGCTGTCACAGATAATCTTATTATTATAGGTTTAATAATCCTATTACTAACAAAAAAAATTGAAAAGAAAGGCCATTTTCTTATTTCCTTTATGTCCATACAGTTTGCTTAATATTATAATTTATTTTTCTTTCTTTCCTGTGGCACTAACTTTGGAGTCAAATGTGGTTATAAATTACCGTGACTACCACTTCAGGCAAGTTCTCTAGTCCCACCAGATTTAGTTTTCTCATCTCCAGGGTTAGGCCTGTTAAAAATGCACACAGACATGTGAGTATTGGAGATGGATTCTTGTTCAAGATTAAAATAGTGGTAGGAATAGACAAATCTGGGAAATATTTAGAAGGTAAAATACATTGGGTAATGGATGGACATAAGGGTAAAAGAAAAGAAGAAGGTATCCAGCATGACTTCTTGGTTTGTCTCACACAACTTCATGGATGGTAGTTCAGGAAGTACTGAAAGACAACCAGATATGGGAAGAAATCCTAAGGTTTTTTAAATACAGAATTTGAGATTTCTTTGCTAAATCTTAGAGGTGCTCCAAATAGACATTGTGTGTGTGTGCATGCGTACATATGCCTGGATCTCAAAGGTTAGGCTAGGAGGAAACATTTTTGGATCTCTACCCCTTCTTGTGATTCAAACTAGAAGTGAGTATTGAGCAAGAAGGAAGGATTAAAATGGTCAGCATAGTCAAAATTTGCTAAAAAGGCAAGTGAAATAAGACTGGAGAATGTATTTGGTTTTTCAACTTGGTGGGGAGAGGGAGGTGTCATTTGATGACATATGGGACTAGAAGTGGGTTGAAGAATGAACTGAAGAAGTAAATTGAGAAAGTACAAAAATGCAATTTTGAAGCACTAGAATAAGCTTATGTAAGATAAGTACAGGTCTTTGGGAATATATATATTAAAGGGAAAAAGAAGCTGAGGAAAAGATGAACACCGGGAAAAAAACCAGCAACAGAAAACAAGTACTAGGAAATTTCTAGTGCCAAAGTAATTGCAGAGAGATCATATAGCCTGGAATCTGAAATTAGGCCAAAGAGATGTAGCTCCTAGGAGGTGATTAATAATCCTTTAGAGAATTGGTCCATTAAAATGCTGAGGGCATGTACCTAGTTGCAATGACTTGACAAGTGTGAAAAATGATGTGCAAAGAATAGATTTCACCTTTAATAAATTTATCAGGTAAAATTTTGAGAAGGGGAAATTAGTTTAAAAGATAAAATTGGAGAAAAATAAAAATATTTTGGCATAGGGGAAAAGCTGATTGTAGTAGTATCAGAAAATGGAAGGCAAATGGTTCTGTTTTATTTACTTGTAGGACAAAGCACCATGAGCAGATTGATAGTAGAGAACGGTCTATGGGAAAAAAATACTGACAATAGGAAAAATTGATAGATCATGACTCTGAAGCTAGAGGGAGACAATAAGGCCCGGGGCCTCTATAGGAGAGTTGGAGAGGAAAGGGAATATTTACTTTGGGGAGACAGAAGTTAGGAGGGAGTGGTGGATGAAATTTAAGCAGAAGCAAAAAGTCATGGTAATTCAAGTTGGCCTTCAATATTTGTTAATAACTCTCTTGCGTCTAGAGAGTTAGAGTCAAGAAAAGGAGCAGCATGTTTTCTCCAATCTTGGTGATTTGGCAGGTGAAGGGAGTAGAAGGGTAAGGAGGTGCGAAAGCCAGGTGTGCCTGGTATTGAGCATCTGCAGGTCTTTTTCTATAGCTGTTAATGAAGTATAGGTTCATCTTGAAATCCAGCTGCCACTTTGTCAAGTTTTCAGTAGTGAAATTGGACAGGCCTCAGGATGTTTTTCCTCTACAAACATAATGTGTCCTTAAATGGGCACCCACACTCCTACTCCTCCAAACAAAATGTTGTTTGTGCTTCACGGGCGTCATTCTCTAGGAATTCCCTCATCTGTCTTTCACAAAGACACAGAGAAACTTAGGCCATTTTGGTAGAGAATTCCAGGAACCTGAGAAAGAAATATATTTTTCCAGGAGTTTAACATTTCAGGTAACCTCATTGGTCCTGATTTTGAAAGAAAGTCAAGCCAGCCATCCCCTTTTTCATAAAATTTTTCTGGCTATTGGATACTGTGGGGTAGTAAAACTACATCATCAAAAATCTCTTAATGTGCTCTGTACTCTGTATAGAACAATTTTTTAAACTATGAATGAGAAAGCACCTTTTAAATAGAATAAGACATCATTTTTTTTCTAGAAGCTATGTATACAACTCTTAGAAGTAGTACCTAGAAAATATAAGCCAAATGTCTTCTGAGAGTCTGAGGATAGGTGTTGTAAAAACCTGTGCTATAAAATTCACGCACTTTCTACTCGGGAATTCCTAGAGAATGAGGCCAGTGAAGCAAATAACAAGTTCCTAGAATACCTGTCCAGAGTCTTTGTGTTCTTTCTTTATTTAAACATAATACAACAAACATAGACTTATCATTCTCAGCACAGAACAAAATTGTACTAAACAAACCCTTAACCTAAGATCCTTATTATGGAATCAGATAGCTTCGGGCCTCTCAGAAGCCCCCAGAGTTTGTGTGACACCCATGTGCACTGAGTGGTATACTCAGAGCTCCCTTCAAGTCCTTAAAACTCTCTTTAACTCTGTATAATCATCACTCCCATGGACTATTTATTTTTAGTCTCTAAACTTGTCTGTCTGCCATGGCCATCCTCTTCATACACAAGTCTGCTTTTTGTTCATCCAAAATTTAAGACAAATTAAAGTGCTTGGTGAGGTGAGGTTCAGCTGTCTGAAAAATTCACATCTTTATTAGTGTTCTCACAGCGATGCCAGATCAGTAGCATTCAGCAGTCATTTTTTCTTTGACTATTGGTTATTTTTCAATTATCTGCATTAATGCAAACAAGCAATGGCTGGTATAATATAATCCAACATAGGAGATGGTTTGCAATTTTTTCATTTTTGGTTTTAGAATACTTGGTTCATTTTGCAGTGACTAGATCTTTCCTCAGATATTACCATAGGCTAATATTATAATTAACTTGCATGAGATAATCAGTAAGAGCAGTAAGTGGAAGTGCCAGAGCCAGAGAATCTTGTCTGTCAAAGGAGCCTGCAAGAAACACGATGGAATGGATGATCCACATGCCTATAGTTAAGAATGAACTGTGTACACTGGCCAGCAAAATAATGTGCTTTTACATCTGCTTGCTTCTATAGCCATGCGCCACCTGCTTGGGTGTAAGAAATGCATGCCACATACATGGTACATTCTGTGTTTAGGAGAATGTGCTAGCGTTTTTTGCCATTTCAAACACATATAAAAGATTTTCTTCTGTGAATTCAAAGAAGTCAGCACTTTGATATCTGTGTGTAGCTGGGTGACTTACCTGGATTCTACAAGCTTTGGCATAAGCAGAGTTTGTCAGATAAGGGTTTATGGCTGGTGCTGACTCTTAGTCCACCTACATTCTAACAAATTGTACCTTGAATTGCTTTTGGTCTATAAACCAAAGTCTGTGTTATAATTCACATTTTCATAATGATAGATATAGTGTTTATGAGCTTATCACTGTATACCATCTCTTGGTCAGTTTTTAGGTGTGAAGACTTACTAAACTTAAAAGGAAATTTGAAGTTATGGTTCCTATAGCAACCACAGCTTAGACACATTGCCAATTCACAGAGTAATGTATTTAAGGCAAACTCCCATATACAAATATAGTGTGATGGATTTAAAGTTGCTATGGAAATTGAGTCTGAGCTTTCCCTTTTCCTTAGGGAAAT